GGGGACATTCCTTCCGGGGTGGGAGAGGCAGGAGCTGGGTCCCAATCTCTGCGCTGGACAGGACTGTTCTGACCCAGTTGAGATGCTGCTCTTGGAGTCTCAGGATCTGGTTGCTGAAATAATAAGTTAGCTTGAAGGAAACCTTCTTGGGTGTGCAGACCCCTCTCCAGGGCAAGGATGAGGCTTCAGACTTCTGGAGAGGGTGCTGGTCAGATGCAGGCCTGGTCCCCTGTCCATGCGCCCCCTCCCCCCTGCTGAGCGCTAACCGGGTCCTTGGGGTACTGGCACCCTTGCCAATCCCTTCTTCTAATGCAGGTTTGACCAAACTGGAGAAAAGGCAACTGTATCTAGTGCTAATTGAAGTTAATGACAAGCTTTTGTTTCCATTGTATCTATTTAAATTTTTTTTTTTTTACTCCAATGTTTGTGGCTGTAGACATCTGGTTTTTCCAGTCTCAGAAACAGAGTAACATTTCATTTTCAACATGGGGATTTTATTTAAATACTGAGTAACTTCCAGTGGAGAAAATGCAACCAGGGTGCCTGCCCCTCCAGGCAAGGAGGGAGAAGTTCCTCCTCATCCTTTAGTCATGTTGTCAGGAGGGGTCAGTCCTTGGAAAAGGACTGACCCCTCCTAGGAAAGGTCAGCGAGAGAGACCCTCAGTGAGGAAGGCTGACAGTGACTGCAGCGATGAGGTCAATGTGTGAGATAGGAAGATGGCACAAGACAGGACAGGGTTCAGATCCGCTGTCCACAGGGTCACACAATAACCCTCACAACAAATTTCCAGTGAAGGGAGTATGAAGAAGAACCACATTTGAAAAGCGTAACCCTTGTTTGATGGTCACTTGCTGGGCATGAAGCCTGTCTGTGTGCTGTACCCGAGTGGACTTAGGTGGAAGCTCTGGTGGGGGCACAGAGAGGTGGGGGAGTGAGGCCTCTCAGTTCTGAGCAGGCGAGGGAGGGCTCCCTCTCTCTGTGCAGCCTGGAGTCGTGTGTGGGGTACTTGGGTGGGAGTTCACTGCCTGCCTGTGTCCAGGAGGCAGGGGGCTCGGGCCTCCTGGCCATGCTGCTGTTGCGTGCAGCCTTGCCGGTCAGCTGAGCCACATGGAAGGTAGCCTTGGCAGTGGCCTGTGGTCCCTGCCCATTCCGGACACCATCTGTAACTAACTGTTGGGTTGGGGCAGGCACTGGATGAGGCTTCTCGGACTGTGTCAGTGTGAATATCCCTCTGCTCCCACCACACTCATCTGTCAGGTGGGGCCCTCCCTCTCCAGGCTACAGAAGGGGTACGTGGTGTGGACTGTAGACCCTGCAGGTACCACCCAGCAGAGCCATCTTTGCCCCAGCCTTGTGGTCTCAGATTTTGACCTCCAAGTTTCCAAGGGAGCTCTGGTGGCCTAGTGGTAAGGAGCTGCACTGCCAAACCAAATGTATGCAGTTCAAATCCACGCCTGCTCTGGAATAAAGATGGGCAATCTCCTGTGTGATTTCCTGCCTCTGACACCCACTGGGGGTCAGCTTTGGTTCAGTTCTGAATCAATGTTAACAACAACAACAACAAGAAGTGGGTTAATGTTCTTTACAAATGTACCATCTTCCTTTTCTGAGTCTGGGCCCTGCTTCTTATTTACCCTAGAAAAAATGGGCCCTCAGTTTCCAGGCAGCATTAGCTGGCCATGCCAGTCTAGTGTAGGTCTTGGGCTTCCCTTCCAGGTGGAAGGTCCATTCTACAATGGGCCTTCGCACAAAGGCTACTAAAGAGTCTTAGCAGGCAGAGGGATACAGAGGCAGACAGGTTCCCGGGTTTGGAGGGAGCGAAGAGTACGTCTTAGGGCCTGAGAACCAGGCTGAGGCCATAGGGAGCCATGGATGGCATTTGAGCCGGGGAGGGGCCAGGCGGCATGGGTACTGGCCACTGAGGAATAACACTGGAGGGAAGCTTGTGGGATCTGCCTGTATGGGGCCACTGGGCAGCTTGGAGAGTTGTGCTGGAGCCAACGAGGGCAGGCCGTGCTCTCTGGGCCCAGGACGCATGGTGGTGCAGCAGCCCCACAACAAGAAACCCATAGGCACCCTGGTCTCTGAAACCCCACTAGATGCCAGGGCCTTGGCATCAGCCTTCTGTGGCTCAGCGTGCATATCAGTGAGGGCCAGGGCTTATGCCCCTATCCAGAGATGTTCAGTGTCTATAAACCATGCTTTGCTGGCTTGTGGATGCTGGGCTGTTTCTCAAGTGTGTGACACACACACACACACACACTCACACATACTCATACCCTCATGCAATCACACACACATTCACACACCCTCTATATGTGTTCTCAGGCATACTCACACATCGTCACACACACACACACACACACACACACACACACACACACATTTTCTCCACATACACTCACACAGTCGTACACAAGTCCTCACATATACTCACACCCTGACACATCACACACATATTCACACCCTGATACACTTTGTACACTCACTCATATATGTTCTCACACACATACTCTCACACACACACTCCTATACTCTCACAGCCTCACACACTGCCTCACTCTAACACACAATCACCCTGACACACACACACTCTCCTCCCACACACTGTCCCCCTTACCCCCCCACCCCACATACAACCTCACTCTGACACACACTCGCACCCTAACACACACACTCCCACACACTCACCCCCTCACACACAACCTCTCTGACACACACACACATACACACTCCCTCTCCCGCACACTCACCCTCACCACCCACACTCACACACCCACACACCCCTCACGTCCCCTTACATGCTCGCACACATTCTCACACACTCGTCCACTGACACATCCCTCATAAACTCACATACTTGCATGCACACCTACATACCCTCCCACCCTCACACACTATCATTCTCACAGACTCACCCCTTTGATATACTCACACACGTGCACACACACCTTCATAAGCACACATACTTGCACACACACTTACACACCTTTACACATACTCACACTCTCACTCTTACACATTCACACTCGAACACCCTCAAATACACACCCTCACCCCACACCCCACACCCCTTCATACCATTCTCACACCTTCACACACACAACATCATAAACTCATGTACTTGCAGGCACACTCAGGTACTCTCACACACACCTTCACACACACTCACCCCCCACACACCCAGACACATATTCTCACACAGACTCATACACTAACTCATACACACCCTCATAAGCTCACATCCTCACATGCACACGTATACACACTCAGTTACACACACTCATTACTTTTTGAAGTTAGTCTGCATAAGACAGATGGCTCTGTGAGGCAGGAAGGTAGCAGGAGGCAGCTGAGATTAGGAGATGGAGAGAGTTTAGAGGCAGGAAGGGTTCTCTGGGCCTGGAAAGCCTTTCACTGATGTGGTGACCTGGCAAGCATTTATTGACCACCAACTGCCTACCAGGTGATGAGGACACTGTGGGGACAGAGTCAAGTAGGAACACAGTCAATCAGCTGATCGGGGCACAGGATGTGGGCTGGTGGGACTGAGGTGCTGGTCTTGAGGCAGTTCCAGTTTAGGGGTCCAGAAGGCCCTTGAGGGCATGTTGGGTGTCAGGGAACAATGGGCTGGGCAAAGGCCATTGGCAGGACAAGCCTAAGACAGACAGGGTCCCAGTGATGGAGGGACAGGAGTGGCGTCTGACCAGCCCTGCCTCTACTTCTGGGCCCTGGTCATGCCTCGCTGCCTCTCCCCCCTGGCTCAGGGCAGGGTCCAGCAACATCTCCTTGGTTAATAGGCAATGTGTTTTTCCACCTGGGTTTGTGGCCTATTCTCACCTCAGTCCATGCTACAGTGTTCAAAGTTGGCCTTGCCTGTACTCTTCTAAAATGCCACAGCTGCCCTTGCTGGCCACGGTGGTGGTCCTGTGGACCCTGACTGTGCAGGGGGAGAAGACTATCTGGGAGGGGCTGTTGGAAGGCCTCCTGAAGATGTGCTGTTGCTGGAGCTGAGCCTGGATGTGGAGGAGGGAGATGGGAGGTGGGGGCTGAGGGTTGGGTCTAAGAGGCAGAGGTTAAATCGAAGGTTGCAGGGAGGGGAGGGGAGAGACTGTGGTGGGGAGCCAGGGTCCCAAGTGAGTTGGGAAGGAGCCAGGTGGGCGTGGGGGAGGGCCGACTGGACTCCTGCCCTCACCCCCACCTCCCACCCTGAGTGACTCTCCCCCAAGGTCATATCAGCTGTTTCCTTTCAATTAGTCAGGAATGTTCCAGCATGGCTAGTTCTGTGCTGCCTGGGGTCAGGGCCCTAATTCCGACTGGAGTCCCATGGGCGTGGACTCTGGAAGAGTAAGTGTGACACCCCTCTCCACCCCTGCACCCGCTGGGTGACCTTGGGCGAGTTGCATAACCTCTCTGGGCCTTTAAAGAATGACCTCCCACCCAGCGCCCCGCCTGGATTAGCTCACAGCCACTCCCTCACTGGGTTTGAGCGCCTAGATTTTGCTCTGTAAAAAGAATCCGGTGCAGCGAGAACGCCAAGCTGGTGGGCGATGGGCAGGCCTCCAGTGGCAGCTAGTGTGGCTTTCAGCAGCCCACGGCCCAGGCTGGAGGGACCGGCCGTGGCCTCGCGGGGGGAGAGGGTTCTCTTGCTAGCTCCTCTTACTTTCTTTGGCTGTAAAATGGGCCGATGCCCGACCGGGCAGGCGGTGAGCGCCCCCAGAGAAGTTTGTTGATTAGAATTGATGGCTTATTTTGTTTAATTTTTCAGGTTTATTAGCTTGGCCTGGTCCTGGCATCCTTGGCCTTTCCCCGGTCGAAGCCCCTCCTCAGGCGGGCGCCCCGGAAACCCTGGGCTCCCAGTCTGTCTCCCCCACTCTGACTTCATTCCACAGGCGGTCCTGAGGCTTGGGATGGAAACCCCTCAACACCCCCAGCTCCAGGCTGAGGCGGGAAAAGTGCATTGCTGGCCCCGCCCCCGCGTGCGGGCCTCAGCGTTGCCATGGGGATGGCGCGGTTGTCAGGGCAACCGCCTCCCGCGGGCCCCGCCATCCATCACCCGCGGCGGCGGCAGCGGCGCCCAGGCTTCAGGAGAGGCACGCTGGGTCTCGCCTGCCCCGACCCCGCACCCCCACATAGACTGCACCCCTAGAGTCTCTCCCCGGCTCAGGGGGCACGCAGTCCTCACGCCGGCCCCCTGCTGGCCGCCTGACCTTGCCTTGCCCTCGCCTGGCCCTGGCCTGCAGGGACAGACTGAACACACTGTCTGCCTTGTCTGGCGAGCCGGCCGCATAGCGGCCCTGTGTCTCGGTGTCCAATCGGAAGAGACCCTTGATGTCAGGGTGGGAACCTGGTGTAGGACTGCTGGCCCCTTGTCTAGTGTGGCCTTGTATGTAGGGGCATCCCAGCTGCTTCAGGGGTTCCGCCAGGGCCAGTAAACAAGGCCTAGCTCAGGACTGCGCAGGCGCCTTCCGGGCAGCCCCAGCTCCCACTTTCTAGCCACCTGGCTTTGGCTCCTGTCCCGTCCACAGGCAGCAAGGGCCACCAGTGGGAGGACAGGCAGGGCATGGGGAGGGAAACACTGGAAGAACAGCTGTTCCCCCCAAACCAACTCCCTGGGCTTGTCTGTGGACAGTGGGGACCCCAGAGGCCCCAGTGCAGGGCAGTGCAGGAGGGTGACAGGCCTGTCTCTCATCCAGTCTGTGCTTCTGGGGGACATTGGGAGGAAGCCATAGGGGTCAGGGATGTAACTGGCGACAGCAGAGGCCTCCAAGGGATGAAATGGCCAGACTTGAGGGGACTCAGGAGCTCAGTGGAACATGAGAGGGACCAGCCTGGTTTATGCCCCACAGCAGACCCCGAACATTGACTCATCTGGTCCTTCACGAAAAATCATCAAACTGGGTGGCTGGATCAAGCTTTTCCTGTGTCCCATAAGCCAAGTCCAGCCTCCAGGGGAACTTCAGAGGATATCACAGAGAAAAGCAGGGGGGGTGGAGCAGGGTGAGGTCACCTGGCCAGAGCGTGGGAGCTGACTGACCTCACAAATCTCAGCTGTGCCCAGAAACCTGATCCCGAGTGGGGTGCCCAGGGAAGTCACTCCCAGAGTGGCAGGAAGGAGGACTGGGTGGCGCCAGCATGCTGTGTGACGCTGGACCAGCACTGGGCTTCTCAGAGCCCTGGTTCCCTGGGTGGGGTGGGGGACACAAAGCAGAGCTTAGAACTGGAGGCGGATGCCCTGATTATCTGTGCCGAGGAGGAGACTGAGGCCCAGAGGGCTTGGGGAGCCCTATGATAGCAGGAAGGTGGTCATCGCAGGGGCCCCGGGTAGTCTAGGGCTGCAGGTTCCTGACAGGCCCTGCCCATTCAGGCTGGGCCTCTGGCTGGGAATCAGACTGGACAGAAGGACTGGGAGGCTTGGGGAAGCCAGGACCATGGCCCTGCCCCCTCACCCTGGGGTCTCGAATTCTCACAACGCTGGAGACATACACCTTATGCTTACTGAGGGAAAACTGAGGCCCAAGTAACCCTGGTTCCTTTTTTAAAAAAAAAAATTTTATTATTTTTTGTGCATGTACCATAAAATCAGATCTGACTGGTATAGGAAGAGATTGCCCCGCCTTCTCCAGCAGAGCATCTGGTGGATTTAAACCATGCACCTCTGGGATTGCAGTGCAGCTTCTCACCTAGGCCACCTGAGCTCCTGGTTCCATCCTTTGTGCTTTTATTAAGCCCTTAGTATGTGCAGCTGTTCTGGAGGGTGGGAGGGGTGTACTTCAAAAGTCATTTTGATCTTTTGATACTTTGTGGGGGGGCGTAGTGGTCTATGGGGGGCAGGGGTGTGGAGACCACAGGGCTGCCTGTGAATGGGGAAGAGGGGGTCCTGGGTGGAAGGAAGGGCCCATGGGGGCTCCCAGCCTCAGTCTGGATTCCAGGTGGGGCTGCAGGCTTAGCATAACCCGGGGGTAGTGGTGGGGGCTGGGACTTGGGGGTGCATGCGTGCCCTCCAGGTACCCCTCCCACAGGAGGCTGTGTCTGTCACAGCATCACCCTAACAGAACCTTCCAGTACATTTCACAGCATTGATACTGGCATTCATTGAGGGCCTGCTATGCATCATGCTGGGCCAAGGCTAAAACTCTGATTGGATGTTGGTCTGGGGTCTGGCTGCTCCTCCTCCATGTCCTTGGAATGCCTAGGAGACTTGTTTGGGGGCCATGGGCACAAGAAGTGAAACACCTTGGGCCAGAGCGGTCAAGTGCAGTCCAGAGGCTGGGAGGCCAGCTGGTGGTTCCAGTGTCCTCCACGGGAGGAGGATGGGTGCGGTGGGTGGAGCTTGAGGGGGGGAACCGCCTGCTTCTGCACACTCTTCTTAGTCTACAGCACCCAGCGAACTCCTATGCAGCCTTCGTGGCCCGATCTCAGTGCCCCTTCTCTGCAGAGGCCTTCATGGCTCCTGTGCAGGCTCAGGCTCTCCTGTCTGGGTTCCTCAGGTCCTGCACCAAGAGGGGCAGAAGAGCTTGCTGGATGAATGAATAAGTGTGGAAAGCCAAATTTCATACTAAATATTTATGATACACAAAATGCTATATCAGGAAATGAGGGAGGTGCGGACACAAGCTGAATTCACCCTCAGGCACCAAGGCAGACCTTCATTGTCACAGGGGTAGACGCTAAGGCAGACCTTACGGGTTTACAGAATTCTTGGATTGTATTTGCTAACCTCTCCATCCTGAGTCAAGCATAAGGTTTTCATAGAAAGAGCTTAGCTTTATTTGCATAGAATTCTCTTTGTGATTTGCTCTCTGGCGATTCTCAATAAAGTCACAAGGTACCTGGGTTCGGTGCTTCAGCTGTTCAAACTGGTCGCCTCCTGCTTTACCTCTGTTTACTTACACATTCCTGGTGTTCTGTCTCGTTATTCATACTTATTAATGTATACTCTACCCTTGGTCGACAACAAATAAGACAGGAAAGGGGAAGGAAAAGGTGCGCCTTTGGGGAGGGGACAGCAGAGGTTCTGAGGCTGTAACTTGCCCCTGGTCCAGCTGACAGTTGAAGGGGTGGGCCCCAGGCTTGACCTTGTCTGTCCCCCACAGGATCCTGGCAACAGAAACCAGCTCGCAGCAGGAGCGGCTCCAGGCCATTGCAGTGAGTTTCCCTGCATGTGGCGGGGTGTGACTGATGGTTTCTCAGGGATTCCCTTGCCTGCACGCCTGGTGTGAACTCAAGGGCTCTGGGAAATGTGCTGGTGTGAGGACTAGAGACTGTGGGACTTTATGTCTTCTCTCCACTGTTAAGAAAATAAGTATGGAGATCTCAAACCCCCCTCAACTGCAAAGTGGAGGAAAGTGAGGCTGGATGGAGCCCAGCCTTCCAGGGTCTGCTGCCTCAGACTTGAAGACTTCTGGGGTCAGCGATGTGAGAGAGTGGCACACTTATGCTGAGGCTGAGGGTCTGGTGGTCTGACTGGGGAGTGATGATGGGGTGGAGCCAGCTGAGTGGGCTGGGCTGGGTCCTGATACCTGGCTTTCCCCCCAGGAGGAGAGGAGGAAGCAGGCAGCCATTGAGAGCAAGCGCAGGCAACTGGAGGACGGCCGCAGGCAGCTCCAGCATCTGAAGGTGGGCAGACTACCCCCAGACAGGAGGGCCATCGGGGCCTGAGACCCCATGGCTGGACAGGGTGGGACCTGGGCTGGATGAGGAGGGGCTGTCCCTGGACAGGAGGGACAGTGGTGCTCAAGACCCTGGGGCTGGACAGGGAGGGCCCTGACACTGGATGGGGAGGAACTCCAGGGGTGGACAGGGAGGGACCCCAGGTAAATGCCTGACTCTGGAGGGGGAGGACCCCGGGGCTGGACGGGGAGGGGTAGTGGCATCCTGAGCCTTGGGAGTTGTCCCCCTGCTGAGGAAGGAGACCCTGAACCCAGTTCTGACTGATTCTAAGCCTGACCCTGACCTTCACATGACACTGGCTGACCCTTACCCTGGACCTGACTCCAACTCTCACTTTTATATTGACCCTGACACCAACCCCAACACCAATCTCATTCTAACCTTGACCCCACCACTCCCCAGTCCAAAGCCCTGCGAGAGCGCTGGCTGCTGGAGGGGACACCTTCCTCAGCCTCTGAGGGGGATGAGGACATGCGGAAGCAGATGCAGGAGGATGAGCAGAAGGCCCGGCTGCTGGAGGAGTCTGTCTCCAGGTGGGTGTGGGCAGTGAGGCGAGGTGTGGGGACGCTTAGGCCTGGAGGGGGCAAGATGATGGCAATCAGGTGGGGCCTCATGAAGAGGAGGCGGGGCCAGGACATCAGGGCGGGGCCTCAAGAAGAGGAGGCGGGGTAAAGCCAGCAGGGTGGGGCCTAGGTGGCTGAGACCTGGAGTGGTTCCTGAGGACGGCAGGGCGGGGCCCAGCAGTGAGGCAGCAGGGTGAGGAAAGCAGGATGAGGCTAATGTGCTTCCACAGAGACACAGGTGCAGGTGCAGAGCTGAGGTGGGGACACAGGTGCAGGTGCAGAGCTGAGGTGGGGACACGGGTGCAGGTGCAGACAGGGTGGGACACATGTAGAGCTGGGAAAATATATAGCTGCAGATGCAGAGCTGAGGTGGAAACACTGGTGCAGGTGAGGAGTTGATGTGGGGACACAGATGCAGGTGCAGAGCTGATGTGGGGACACAGGTGCGAGTGAGGAGCTGACGTGGGGACACAGGTGCGAGTGAGGAGCTGACGTGGGGACACAGGTGCAGGTGCAGAGCTGACATGGGGACACAGGTGCGGGTGCAGAGCTGATGTGGGGACACAGGTGCGAGTGAGGAGCTGATGTGGGGACACAGGTGCGGGTGCAGAGCTGATGTGGGGACACAGGTGCGAGTGAGGAGCTGATGTGGGGACACAGGTGCGAGTGAGGAGCTGATGTGGGGACACAGGTGTGCATGAGGAGCCGAGTTGGGACACAGGTGCAGGTGCAGAGCTGACATGGGGACACAGGTGCAGGTGCAGAGCTGACATGGGGACACAGGTGCGGGTGAGGAGTTGACGTGGGGACACAGGTGCGGGTACAGAGCTGACGTGGGGACACAGGTGTGGGTGAGGAGCTGATGTGGGGACACAGGTGCAGGTGCAGAGCTGATGTGGGGACACAGGTGCAGGTGCAGAGCTGATGTGGGGACACAGGTGCAGGTGCAGAGCTGATGTGGGGACACAGGTGCGAGTGAGGAGCTGACGTGGGGACACAGGTGTGGGTGAGGAGCTGACGTGGGACACAGGTGCGGGTGAGGAGCTGACGTGGGGACACAGGTGCAGGTGAGGAGCTGATGTGGGGACACAGGTGCAGGTGCAGAGCTGACATGGGGACACAGGTGCGGGTGCAGAGCTCCGGTGGGACACAGGTGCGAGTGAGGAGCTGATGTGGGGACAAAGGTGCAGGTGAGGAGCTGACGTGAGGACACAGGTGTGCATGAGGAGCCGAGTTGGGACACAGGTGCATGTGCAGAGCTCCAGTGGGACACAGGTGCAGGTGAGGAGCTGATGTGGGGACACAGGTGCAGGTGCAGAGCTGACATGGGGACACAGGTGCAGGTGCAGAGCTGAGATGGGACACAGTTTCAGGTGCCAAGCAGGGATGAGACAGGTGTGGACACACCATTCTGATGGAGATGGATGTGTTGGGATGGGGACCTGAGCACTAAGCCCGGCTTCCTGGGCTGTCCTGTGTGACCCCTTCACTCCCCTCCCGTGGAGCAGGTGTGTGAGGGCTGTGAAATCTGGTGTCCTGGTCTTGGAGGATGGGAGTTGGCTGTCCAGGCTTCAGCAGGACTCCCTGGGGGCTTCCTGGCGCCAGCCCAACTGAGCTCCAAGCTCCTGGCTTGCTGGGAGGCTCCAGGCTTGCTGAGTGCAGGGGCAGCTGGGCTGAGGAAGCTGGGGGCGGGGCAGGCCAGCCTGGACAAAAGGCTTGGGTTTTCCGGCCAGGCGGTGGGATAGGGTGAAGGGAAGTGATGACCCAGATTGCTCTCTGGTTCTGGAATGTTCTCACTGGTGAGGAAGGGACAGAGATTGGAAGCTGGAGGTCAGGGTGAGCTCTGTGGCCAGGGCCTCCCAAGGACCCTTGCCAGGCCCAGCCTCCAGTGTGCTGGTTTTGGAGGAAAGTAGTATGCTGTGGGGCTTCAGGTGTTTCCCTTCAGGCTGGGACAGAGGGTCCAGGCTGTGACATGCAACAGGAACCCAGAGAGAACAGCACAGGAGTTACCTTGGTCCCTTGGTCAGCTAAATCTTACCATGCCCTGGTCCTCATACTCACGAATGAGAGGCTGAAACACTTTTGACTTGGAAATGGCAGCAGACAAAATTCCATGTGTGCTGGAGCCACATCCTGTGTCCTGGGAAAAAATTGGTCTGCAGAAAAAAGGATAGTCATAGCATGAATAGGCAGACTATCTTAGTCACCCAGTGCTGCTGTGACTGACACACAATAATGCAGTGTCAGTCATCCAGTGCTGCTGTCACAGAGACACCACAGTGCAGT